GGGGGTAAACTGCACTCCTACCCAGGAAAGCTGGTACACATAGGATAACGGGGGAAATAACGGGGGGCACTCAAACTTTATCTGATAAAAGGATTTTTAAATATGCTTTTTTCGGGCTGTTAAAAAAAACTCTTAGTATATTTTTCGGTCCCTCTATCGAATGGCATTTTCAAAATCTCGGAAAATATTCAAAACGCCGAAAATCTTTTCCCCCTGTTATCCTATGTGCTGCCCATAGTTTTCAAAAATAGTTTTTAGGCTATAAAACTTTTATAATACATTTTTTCGCGTTGTAAAAAAAACTCTTAGTATATTTTTGATGTTCTATCGATCCGCGTTTTCAAAATATCGAAAATCTCAAAATTTGGCTTTCCCCCCGTTATCCTATGTGCTGCCCATGGATTTTGATCAATTTTTGTTTATTCGATAAAAAATTTCATTTACATTATTTTGGGCTGAAATTAATTTTCCTAGGGCAGTTTTCGACGCTTTACCGAATGACGTTTTCAAAATACCGAAAATTTCGAAAATTTCGAAAATTTGACTTCCCCCCGTTATCCTATGTGCTGCCCATAGATTTTCCTCAATTTTTGTTTATTCAATAAAAAATTTCCATTACATTATTTTGGGCTCAAATTAATTCTCTGAGTATATTTTTCGACGCTCTATCGAATGGCACTCGCAAAATCCCTCAGTAATTGCAAATTTCATAATAATGAGTGCCCCCCGTTATTTTATTCCCCCCGTTACCCTATGTGTACCGGAAAGCTTACCCTCCAAAAGCCGCAGCTCCTTGGTAAAAAGGAGTCTGGTGGTGAGCAGCTTCTCAAAGGCGTACGGCCGATTACAGGGCGTCATTGCGGACAGGGTCGGAGGGGATGGCAGGCATACCGGCTCGAAGAGGTCGAGCGTCGATGAGGGTACGGCCAGCTCAGAGGATTCTTCTAAAAATCAAATATTTCTGATTTGCGGATTAAAAACCCGAGATATAGCATTCGTTGGTTTTCGGGTTGTATTGTAATGAGCGGCAGTGGAAGGCGGTAGAGTCGATACATTCGCGCATACAGTCGCGTACGGAACGTGTACCTAGATAGAAAAATTCGGAAACTTGTTTATTACGCACTTTTGATTTTTTTATTCCCGAAAACCATGAAATTGTTTATTATTAATTTTTTAATATTCATTTATCCGCTTACCGGCCTGAATCCCAAATGAAGCTACATCTGCGTGTTGAGCCATGATAAAGTCGACACGTCCATTTTCGCATCGGCGACGTTCTAAAGGCAACGAGGTTCTGGTGCGTTAGCGGGGGGGGGGTGACAGGGGCGGAGAACTAACTTCCTTTATTCTGCCTAGAAGCTATTTTCGTAAAATTGGACTTTTTTTGAGTGAAAACTAGGCATTTTATGGTTTTTGTTAGTTGGCAGCAAAAAAAATTCAGCAAAAATTTACCAAAATAGAAAAATGAAGGCCTTACATGTTTTTGTATTACGTTATTCTCCGTCTATGCAATGTGGAAAAATTTGACCCCCCCCCGCTAACGAACCAAAACCGGGAATGACAAAAACAGAAAGAGCATTACCAGGTCGGCACGCGTTTTCATAGTAGTCCACGCCCGGTGCTTCTTCCCCTTCGGATTCTTGCCGAGTTTGATTGTAGAAGCGGCAGGTTCTGAATTTATTTAATTTAATAACAAAACTTGTGCTTACTTTGTGCTCGATTCAAAAGTTGCAGCTGGGCAGGATTCATCGAGACATCGCTGCCGGCATTCGCCAACAGTGCGCACATCCGAAAGCTATAGCAAAAATCGGGTTCTTGTGAGTTGCGGGGGGAGCTGAATTCATTTATTCGACCTAGCCTGCCTAACAAAAAGTGTTTCTATTGGGTTTTTAGTAGCTTCGGTTTACTGAAAAAGGATTAAGAAACGTTAAAAAAATAAAAATGCGCATTTTGAGGCAAAGTTAAAAACTTTTTATACCTTTTTGTATAGCTAAAAATCCATAAAATTTCTGTAAAAATACATTTATAGGGCTCCTCCTAAAGCACCAGAAAAGTCCCCCCCTAATAAACAAGCTCCAAAAGCTCACGAATCTTTGTTTTACCTCAATGGCGATAGCCTTCAATCGAAAATCCCTTCTCACGTCGAAAATGAAAGCACGTCCCTCGCAGACTTCCGGCAACCTAAAGTTGATACGAGTTTTCCGGATACTTTTACGATACTTGAAGCACATTTTCTCGTAGTAGTAGGAGAAATCGCTTTTGCGCCAGTGCCGTTCCTTAAAACCTTTCTAAAATCGTGTTGTTTGGGACGAAAAGTAACCATACTTCATTCTTTTTCCACCGGAAAAAATTCGCACATCGGGATCCGCCCACTAATGATGTTGATGCCCTAAAAAGCGGAGGTTTTGAGGACCATAAAAAAATTACGAGACTTTTTTAATATAATACCTGACACGGGAAATGGTCTCGGGACAGTGGCGACACATTTATGCGACAAGCCTCCAAGCATCGTGTTAATGGTTGCTAAAATATTTTTTCATAGTTGTCGTTTGATGCTGGATAAAAATGAGAGAGATGATGACATTTTGAAAAAATAAACTTCCAAAAAATGCAATTTCGACTAAAAAATAAAAATTTTCGACAAAGTAGAATTTGAAAAAAAAACGATTTTTTGACAAAATAGATGTTACATTCTAACTCCGACAAATTAAAGGAACTCTATCAAAAGATTTGCGAGTAGAAAGTCGAAATTCATAATGCCGAAATTTCGGGATGCCAATATTCCATAATGCCGAAATTTGATAATGTCGACAATTGCAAAAGGTTCCCCGCTAGGTTTTTTTTTTTTGGGAATGACGACATTCCAGGATGTCGGGATTATGACATTTCGGCATTTTCGAATTGAGCCCTACGAAAGCCATTCCGGCCTACCATCGCAGCCAGGCGCGGCTTCTGATCGACCAAACTCGAGATTCGCTGATAGCCGGCGCGAAATTCGCCGAAACACTCTCCATGTGGTGACAAAACGCCGCGAGGAAAGGCATCTGGCTCAAAATCTAGAATTCATGTGTGGTAAAAAATGTTATCTAACAACCTGTCTGCCTTATTGGTCGTGTAGAATCCTGGTGTGACGATTTAGCGGAAATTAGGCCGATGACGGCCACACCTGTCGAAAATTCGGTACTAGACAGTTAGAGGGGGAGAGATAATTTTGGCGTGTCGACCCGTAGGAACCGAATAATAATACTCACAATTTATGCAGTGTTTCACACGGTTTAAGTCCGTAAAATTTCTAAATTTCTAAATTTTGTGATTTTTGAGCAAAATCGTATGAAAAGAGCAAAAAACTAAACGGTTCCTCATTTTCAAAATACTTTTCCCGTTTGAATCATCCAAAAGCTACCAAAAATACCTTTTTCGACGCTATTTCCGAAAAATAAAAAGCACATGACAAAATGCCGACAACAAAAAACCGACAGCGAAAATATCGAGAATCAATACCCCGACAAAGAAAATATCGACAATTATTATCACCGCGCCCGAAATACCGATAGTCATAGTCCTGAGAGACCCAACACCGACATGCAAAAATACCGACATGCCAAAATCTCAGTAGTATAGTGCCGACAACCGAAATCCCGGGAGCCATAATACACGACAACCAAAACCAAAACCACGAGAGCGCGTATCGGGAATTCGCTTGTCGAAATCTTGCCTCCCGGGATAATGGCTCGAATTCTTACCCTCCCCGCTAACAGATCAGTGCCAAATCACGTGCAACGAACCGGTCAGCAGCCATATCATCGTTGTACCAGCCGCCAGCTTGGAATTGATCGCGGCAGATCCGTACGGCTAGAAAAAAAGGGAGATGGGCGTATTGAAGGTGGGGGATATTGGGCGAGCAGCGATTGGCAACGGCTTGAGCTCCCCCCTCGTGCTCCTTCACATCAAAGCCCCGTCCACTCGAAGATGGGATCGTGACAATGGCCCTAGGCAGTGTAACCACTGTCAGCACCCTGATCGTGATGGTGATGAACAATTCTGGAATTGGGAACGGTGTTGCCGGGGGAGTGCGTTTGGGGGAACGTCGAAACGAGAAGCGGGCATTCAGAAAGTTTGCTTTTTACAAAAAATTGCTTTTTAGAGACAGTTTGGTTTTTCAACAAAGTTTGCTTTAAAGTTGCTGAAAAATCGTGCATGATGAGAAAATGGAAGCGAGGAATTTCTGAAAGGATTTGCTATCAGCATGCCGAAATTGGTTTTCTCGAAATTTATTTGTCGAAAATCCGTTTGTCGCGATTTCCTAGGTCTAAGCGTTAGGAAATTTCGAACCCCAGTGATAATACCGACACTTGAAAATCCGTTAGGCCAAATCCCGACAGGCCAAAATTCCGACAGCCAGAATGTCGACAGCCAAAAAGGCCGACAACCAAAACCCCGACGTTCAAAATGCCGACAGATTTTCGATGTTAGTTTGAATCTCGAGATTTTGCCTGTCGGGACTTGGGCTGTCGGTATTTTGGCTGTCGGGATTCTGGCATTTTCGACAAAATTATGTAAGACAAGACGTTCCAATTTTCAACAAAACAAATGAAAATAACTCCTCGGAAAGGGTGAATTTTGTCGGGATCCTGGGATTCGGGGAGACGGCAAACGAAACATCAGCTATGTAAATTCAGGTAGCAAAAGCTCAATCCTATCCTATAAGCGAGAAAAGTATTTGATATCTTTCATTTATAAAAACGTCTAGGCCTTCCAAATGGCAACAGGACGATTCCGGAATGCTTCTAGAAAGTGCTGAAGTGCAGGCGGGTGCGCACAGCCGAGAGGGGACCGGCTGGTGCCAAGATTTCTCGACAAATTGGCCACGATCAGGCGGGCGAATCGCTTCGGGTTGCGCGACAAGGGGGTAGAGGCTTTGAAGAACCTGAGGACGGATGGATCCGGATGGGATCGGAAGCCGAGGCCGTGTCGACAAGAAGAAGCTGGGCAGGAAGGGAAGGTTGGATGAGTGTAGGGCGGCTGATGGGATATTGCCCCCATCAATTTCACACCTCCACGCCTCCTCCCGACTGCGACTAGTTGTTGTCCACAAAGCCCCCGGGGGTGTAATGGGTCTGAAGATGGTTTTGGGGGATGAGGGGGTAAGATAGTATGCATTTAAAGATGGCATTATTATTTTAAGATTTGCTGTGGTGATTTCGATATTTCAAAATATCGAAGTTTAATAGCGTCGAAATTTCGATATGTCGACATTTTTACATAGTATTTGCGCAATTTCTGCAAATTTGTTCATGTAAATTTCGACATTATGTCTTGATATTTTCAAATTTTGACACTGTGATTCGCCATTTTTTTCGTTAATACCCTGATGTAAATTTTTTCGTTAGGGAACGAATCTTTGAAACAAAACTAGGTTCTGGTTCATTAGCGGGGGGCGCGTTTTTTTTTAAACGCAAAACGTCAAACTTTATTATTTTTAAGAACAAAATATCGATTTTTCGACCAAAATATGAAATTTTAAAGGTTTTTGAAGTTTTTAAGTGGTTTTCCTACTTTAAATGCAATTAAATTTTGGTAAAACACTGTTCAAACACTTCTCATTACGGTACTAGGCATTTCTGGACTAATATAGGAAAAGTTCCCCCCCCGATAATGCAAAAGAACCTGCGCTTTACCACAACTCGACGGCCGTCTCGAAAAATTGGCTGGTACGGAAAGTTCTTGGCACCGTTTTCGGGAGACTACATACTGCCTGCCAGTGCATTTCTCTCTCAAAACGGTCTCTTCTCTAGACGTCACATCCCAGCCACAATGAGCCGATCTTCACCATTTTACGAGAGTTCCCATCTTGTGGCTCTTCACCCCAGAAAGTTCCGCTGTCCCGGAGCAAGAATTCTATATATTTTTATACCATTGGCAAACTAGCGTCATGATAAACTTGTTAAACACCAAAATTTGAGCATGAACTTGTGAGTTGATCATTCCTTCGCCTTTTCTTCCCTTGCTCTCTCTTTCTCGCTCTCAAAATTACCAGCCGGCTGCCCGCACCCAGGGTTGGCAATCGAATCACGACATTTCCGCTCTTGTCTCTCTTCTTTTTCTGACCACCAATGTCTACTATCTCTGGCATCTCTGGCACTGCGGTTTTGGATTAGGCATTTCGTGAACGTTTCAGTGTTTTTCGCGCAAAAACATCTTTTTTTGGGTATATGGCGTCTCTTGTATGGCGTCTCATCTCGGTCTCTCATTTTGGGCAAGGTGCAACGACTAAATAGGCATATTTTTTAATTGGATATTTTTATTTCTAGAAAACTCGAAAAATATCGAGAATTCGGAAGTAAAATCCGTCTTTTTTGGCAACGCTAACGCTCCAGTACCCCAACGCCAAACTTTCTCGCTTTCCCCGAAGGGTTCAATTCCGGAGGCCTTCAGTGAAGAGTGACCAGTCCGCCAGCCATAATGACCAGTCTACGGGGTTTCGCATTTCATAAAGGCCGAGACTCGACTGACCCTCCCCCCCGATAATTGCACAATTCTTCAAGTCTGCCCTTTCCCCTTTTCCAAGCATTTTCCGGTCCCTCAACTGTATGCAATTCTTCGACTCCTTACACTAGCGGTTCCACTGGTTCGAGGGTTTTCTGGGGTTTGCTGCGCCAAAATATGCATTTTCTTGTTTATAGCATTAGTTTACGGGTATTTTGGTTTTGTCGAAAATGAGAATGTCGACATTCAATTCGCCGAATTTCGTACTGCTGAAATTTGAATTTTTCGAAGTTCAAATTACCGAAATTTTAATTTTTCAAATCCGTTTGTCATATCTTCACAAATTCGAATTTTGTCTTGCCGAGGTTTCAAAAAAGCACATTATCGGCAATTTCCTGTAGTTTAAAAGCGTCAGCATTTATCGAAATGTTAAAATTTAAATTTTTGACTACTTTCTGTCCCCTTTCATGCATTTTGGATAAAAAATGTCATTCGTTGCTCCGATCCGGTTTTTATGCTGAAAAACACCGTGAAATTCATCGAAAACGTTAGCTAACCGATAAGAGAAAAGCTCCAGCTTGATTTTCTGCTTTATTTTTGACCCGATTCCAGCCTTAAAACTCGAAAAATTTTTTGTGTATTCGTAGAAATGTACTGTTTTCAATCCGGGAAATCCATATTTTTTATTCTAAAGAATTTGTGATTTTTTCTCCTTAGCAATTACAAAAATAATTTAGGAAGTGTGCAGGATGATCTCCACGCCGGGCCTCGGCCTCTTTCTATTGCTGTCCGCCCTGTGCCTACACAGAACACCTGTAGACGGGCTGAACATATTAATGTATGTTCCGACACTATCCTATTCACACGTCGCATTCAATGGGAAGATTGCCGAGGCACTTATCGAACGGGGCCATCAAGTGGTACGCTGACAAAAATAAGGGAACGAAGCCAAGAGCTAAAAAAAAGGCCAAAAAATGAGCAAGCGCCTAAAATCCGGTTC